CGCCCCCATCCAGCCTGGCCACGCCCATTATTCCGGGCCACGCCCCCACCATCGGGGCCACGCCCCCGGTGTCGTAAGGGGGCGTGGTCTTCACCCCCTCCCCTGCCCGGGTGTCGGCTGCGTGTCCCCCCCCCCACCATGTCCTTAACCTTCCCATGGATCTTCCCCAAGGAGGGAGTGGGGGGGAAAATCTGCATGGGCATCACCACCTCATTCCAGACATCCTCCAGCTGAGGAGCCCCCCAGCACAGTGAGGTAGGTGCCCTGTCCCCCATGGTGTCATTAAACGTGACCCCAGCGCCAAGTCTCTTCTGCAGCAGGGTGTGAGGCCCTGTGTGTGTCCCCTCTATGTCCCCTGCTTCGCACCGTGTCTCGCTGCCTGCTCTTACCCTCCCGCGGAGGGGCGAAGGCCTTGTGGAGCTGGGGACGAGCAGCAAAACGCCAGGGCTGTTGGTGCTCCATGCAGGTCTGTTCACCACGAGCTGTTTTAGTGTCCTCTTGGCTCATGCTATATGAATGGCAAATCATATACAAAACAAAAATAAAGCAACATAAACCCTGTGTTAAAGGGCTATTTTAAGGCAAAGAACAGGTCTTTACATTGAGAAGAAAAGGTTTCTAAAAGAGCTGTAAAATTAAGTCGAACCTAGCATCTCCTATCTCATTTGATAGATTTTGGCCCTAAACTAAAAACACTTTTTTTTTTAAACCTCAAATATTTATCAGTCTAGCACCTGAGAATATGTCCTCTGTATTTTCTTTTTTTTTCCCTTTTTTAATGCTTCTATTCTTCTATAAGAAGAAATACTGCTCATTTATATAACATCATTTTTGAAACATCCACAACAGATTCCTCTAAGAGAGGTATAGTTTCAGGCCTGTACAAAATGACTAATCTGCAATGCCCCACTTGTTTTGCAGGATACTTTTCTGGTAACTTTTTTGAGGTTTATTAAAAATAACTCCATATCCAGAAATTTCAAGAATAAATTATCTTTTCCAGAAGCACTTCATCCTATCAGAAGTTTGTAGACTTGAGCGGTCCAAGAAAGGGTACTCAACACGTAGAAAAATGTATTAATAGAGGAAATTCCTGGCATTTCATATATTTATATTTTACATGTTCTTTATCTGGTTGCTTTCAAATTTATTCCAAAATATTGCCTTTTGTTAAAGGCTGTAAATGAGAAACTAAAGAATCCAATATAGGCCTTTAAATTATAGCTAATTGCATCCCTACTTAAGATTTTTTTTTTCTGAAATGTCATTATTATTTTTTGCTTTAATTAACAACGTTAATGAGTTGTACATTTCAGAGCAGAACAGTCATTTCAGAATGTTTGTTACCTGTTTAGCAGTAATCCTTAGGATCCTTGAAATTAAAACAATGTAAAAAAGTCGACCTTCACCTTGCTAAAACCAATAAGCATTTGAATTGCACTTTAAAGATGTTCTATTTTGTTTTGTTTTGTTTTCCCTTCTTGGTTTTCTTTATGTAGTAGTACTGCAATGAAATGATGTACTTTGCCAGTGCAAAAGAAGTGTTTAATATCTGAATGAAACCTTATTGTAGGATGTGTGAAATTAATAAAACCTTTAATCTGATCTTAGTTTCTGGTAGATGTTTTTGATACAGAATGGGAAACATGATACTTTTTGTTGCAGAAAAGGATTATAGTTTATTTATAGTTTGACATTTATCATGCACAATGAGTTTCAACTTTTTAAGCAATTCCAGAGTTAGGGATTAGAAAAGATTAATGCAGAGAGTGGGGGAAGGACTCAGTTGGGGAGGAAAACAAAGAGTTCTTGGCAGTTTTTTAGGTTGTGGTGCTACAATGGCCATACAGATGATTGAAGAGAATTGAAAAGAAGGGGAAAATTGTAAGGCTGTTATCCTGAATGGCAGCACTAGTGAAGCTGGTGGAGAAGGAAGAGCATGTTTTTGACCAGGAGATGGGAATCTTCATAGGGTATTTCCTACTGCCAGTACCATTTGCAAATTAGATGAGCCATATTAAATACAAATGAAACTTTTTTTTTTTTTGATTAGATGAGCCATATTAAATACAAGTGAAACTTTTTTTTTTCCTTATTTTTGGATTCCACATTTTTACAATGTGCTTCTCATTCAAGATTCTGTTTCTGTGATAAGAGATACCTACATTCATTGGGAATAATAGTCACAATTTCTGTCTGGGCAACTTCTTTGCGTTCAGCTCACTGATGATGGTTCAATACCCGTTAGAGAGGGTTGTGCAATCCCTGATGTTTCAGGAGATGTCATGAAAGTAGAATTACAATACTAGGGGAAAAAAAAAAAACAGATTAAAAATTTGGCATGTACTTCTGATCTCCTGCTCTCCCCATTCCTCTGTTAAGAAAGAGGAAGTTGGCAGATTCTACAGGGGAAGTAAATAAATTATACAGTGTATTGAGCTCCTCCACTCCCATTTTTTTTCTCTTACAGTAACCAGAGGAATAAGATGTTAAT